CCACGTCTTCCTGGCAGTTCTGTGATTGGTTGTCGGTGGGTCTACACCGTCAAGGTGAAACCATATAGCACGTTGGATAGGTACAAGTTGAGACTTGTTTCACATGGATTTAGATAGGAATATGGAATAGATTATGATGAAACATTTGCTCCGGTAGTAAAAATGCAGACAGTTCGCAGTGTGTTGGCGGTAGCAGCTATGAAGAATGGAAGATTGTTCAGTTTGATGTGAATAATGCGTTTCTTCACCGAGATCTCTAGGAGACGATTTACATGGAATGTCCAGAAGGTTATACAAAAGGAGGACTAAGGATGGTTTGTAGGTTGCGATGCTCTCTTTATGGTCTGAAACAGGCACCGAGAGCTTGGTTTGAGAAATTCCATGGTACTATCTTGTAAACAGGTTTTGTATAGAGTCAAAATGATTCATCACTGTTTACTCGGCAGACTAATCAGGGAAACACGGTTCTACTTTTGTACATTGATGATATGATAGTGACAAGTAGTGACATAGAGGGGATTAAGTAGCTTACACAGACACTTCGGACGTCCTTCAACCAGAAAGTACTAGGTGATGCATCTTACTTTCTGGGTTTAGAGATACATACAAGTGCAACGGGTATACTAGTCAATCATAGAAGTATATCCGTGATTTATTAGAGGCAGCGCAGTACACAAATTGCAAGCCGTGCTCGACTCCGATGTAACAAAACTTGAAGCTTAGTCGTGAGGATGGAGTATTGTTAGAAGATCAGACATTTTACAAGAGTATTGGGGGGAGCTTGATCTATTTAACTCATACACGTTATGATATAGCTTATGCATTTCAGGTGGTAAGTCAGTTTATGGGAGTCGTGTGTACAACCCATATGGATGTTGTTCATAGACTACTGCGTTATCTGAAGGGGACACGAGATGTTGGGATATTCGTTCCTGCAGATGGAGAATCGGTCATAGAAGCCTTTGCATATGCAAATTATGTCGGGTGTCTTGACACCAGAAGATCAACATCATGTTGGTGCGTTAAGATTGGGAGGTCCTTTGTATCCTAGCGTTGTCGGAAGCATGATATTGTCTCGAAGTCCTCCACAGAAGCAGAGTATAGGTCGATGTCAGAGGTTAGTTCAGAGATGGTTTGGTTGTAGAGATTGTTCCAGGAGATTGGCTTTGACTGGCAGATACCCTTGCAGATCTATGGGGATAATACGAGTGCAATTCAGACTGCGAATAATTCGGTACTACACGACAAGACGAAGCACATTGAGGTACATGTTCATTATATCAGGCAACTTGTGGCAGGAAGGGTTGTTCAGCTCAGTTACTTATCTACTGAGGATCATACTGTAGATGTCTTGGCAAAAGCAGTCAGTTCGAGCAGACATTGGTACCTTTCTTCCAAATTGATGTTACGTGCCCAACATGAATTTGAGGGAGGGTGTTAGTTTGTGATTGTTCAAGTACCAATGTGTAATTATCCTGTAAATCGTGCAGTTAGGGTTTAGAGAAAATCTATATATTTACCTGTGTATCTTAGATGAAAGGTAACGAATAATAATACAAAAAAAAAAATCTAAGAGGGAGATCCTCTTCGTGGACTAGTGTTACATTGACGATACCACGTTAAAAAACTCGGTGATCATCTTCTCGATTTAGATTGTTTTGACAGGAGGCTGGAAGGATCGAGAAGGCCATTGAAAACTTTAGCTTCAGAGTTGTCTCATGTGGACCAGATGTGGTTTTGATTTGAAGCTTGAACAATAAGAAAAATAGATTCATCAAGGTTGGTTAGGTGGCCTCGTTGTAATTGCATTTGAAGTTTGGTACTTTTTGGCCTTAATTAAGAATCCACAATCCTTGGCATCATCGCCATGAATACCCACCAAATCAGCACACCCAAAATGGAAACCAAAACTGCTCAACACCTAATTGATCTTAGTGAGGTTACATACTCTACTACCTTTTTCTCTTTCACTTTGTAAAGGGAGGCATTTAAAGGTTCGTGGTAAGGAAAATATCCGAACTATAAATCTGAGTGAGAAGTAAAATCGAAAAATGAATCTTAAGAGACTAGAATCCTAGTAGCTCGTAAGAGGAACTAGATCAACTACGAACTACTAATGTTTCAAATCTGCTACAAATTTTACACACTTTTTAAGATGTAATATGGTCGTCTATCTTGATTGAGCCCATCAAGATGAGGCGTCTATGGACGAAATTGATGTTGTCGTATCATGTTACACCAATTGAATGGATTCTCTCGCATGAGGGCACATATAACAACATCAAATGAATCACCCCATTAGTAGTTATGACAATTTTTTATCTTATCAGTGCGATCTGACCTATCTCGATTTGTTTAGAGTGAATACCAGATCCAAGATAGCATGGGGCGTGACATGAGTATTACTTTTGGTATCCTATGTCTCGTTCAACTCCGATCTTGATCTGTTCTATTATTGTTTGCATATTTTTTTTGCCTATATCTCTACTCTTTTGACTTTCTAAAATCATATTATCATCCCAAAAGAAAATTTAAAACTCTAACTTTCAACTATTTAGACTCAATAAATTCATTCTATTATATTTATCATTCAGTTATAAAGTGGTTTCTCTATATCTTCTTCTAATTAAGTAAAATGTCGACATTCTTTATTTATAAATAACATATAAGGAGGGAATGACTCACCCACCCCCGATCGTGTATCACCTAACCTGACTCGTGCTTAGTACAAGACAAGTATGGGTATTAACTATTAAGGTACCCACCCTGCCTCGCCCATATCCATTGCTACGTGTTATCATCAAATCATGCATTGATCTTAACATATAACATTAACTGAATCTCATATCTGCAATCGATAACCGTTATAATCCTGACATATCCCCAACAAATTTAGATTTCAAACAAACGATCATGAATAAGATCGTAAAACATCATAGTAAATTTCGTTGACCAGGAGATGTTGAAGCTGCATAGATTATTTGAATTGCGCCTATAACAAAAAGAGTAATGGAAAAAAAAAGAGATTTTTCTCATTCAAAGATCATACCCTTCGAATTTAACACCATGTGCCATAGTCAAATTGGTAGCACCCTAACAAAATTGGGATTTCCAAAGGACGAGAAACTCCTCGTTCATCTGTCGAACTCCTACTCCCCAGCATGGTAAAGGAAACCGTACCGGAAGTCAAACCGGACTTGTCTGTGGTAGGGTATTTTGTGGTACGACCGTGGTTCAACCGTTTTGTACCGGTAAAATACCGTTTCTGTAATTAAATAATATTTTTTTGTTAAAAAACCGTACCGACAAATTCAGGATACCATCTCGGAATAATACCGGAATATACCGGAATGTAAAATAGTACACTATATATTTTCATACAAATAGAGTGAATCGTTTTGTGTTAATTTCACTAATAAATAACTCTAATACTTTAGTCAAAATAAATATCTATTGTCTTTTCTTTTGAAAAAATTATTTATTATATTTTATTGTTTATCTAATTGTTTCACTATTCTTTTTTTTTCTTTCACATTCCCTTATCCCTTCCCTGCCATTCACCAAGACACCAACCGTCCACCCACCACAACCTTCCCTTCTCTCTTTCTCCCTCTTCTTCGGCTATCCAGAGAGCAGTGTCAAGCTCTGTTCTTCTCCTCTCTTTTTTTTTTTTATCAATTTCTCCATGCAATAGCCAAATTAATATTTTCTCATCCCAAAGATATCATAACAGAAGAACTTATAATCGAAAACAACACTGTGACAACACTAGTTTGCAGGAGAAGAAAGCTTTGCGTTGGCGACCGTCGAGGAGGAGCGGAGAGGAGTAGCAAAGCGGCGGAGAGGAGTAGCACAGCGGGGGAGAGGAGCAGCGGAGCGACGGAGCGGAGTAGGGATCGCTGGTCGCCAGTCAGGTCGGCGGTCGCTGGAGCGGAGCAAAGCAGGGATCGCGGCCGGTCGCCTCGCCGCCGGTCGCGGGTCGCTGGTCACACATCGGCGGTTCCTATTCGCTGGTCACGGCTCGGCGGTTACTAGTCGCCGGTCACCAGAGGAGAACTGGAGAAGAGGAAGAGCGATGGGGGTTTCTTCCTGGTCGGCAGCCGCTGGGAAGAAAGAAAAGAATGCTCCTTTTTTTCGTTTCGTTCGATTTGCCTTAGAGATAGGGTTTTGAATTTTGGCCTTCGGCCAATTTTTTTTTTTTTTTTTGTCAAAAACGACAATGTTCCCTTCCCAAAAGCCTACCCCGGTTAGACCAAAACCGGACGGTATTCCGGATTGTGCCGTTTAAACCGGATAAACCGGCCGGCACGATATTATGCCCACAAACAGCCTACCGTGTCGTCCGTGCTCCGGTTTCCGGTTTTACCGGTTCAACCGGCCGGTACGATCCGGTTTCCCCAGGCGTTTCTCAATTCTCACATTCCACCTCATCTCACACCTACCATATACCTAGAAAACAACGTGTAATTAAGGGAATATACCAAATTACGCTTCTACCCTCTATCCGCATAGCGCCTCAATAGCTGCCAACACCCAACCGGGCAAAACGCCACACAGATTCAGAATCGCAGATGCCTGCTCTGACGACCCACCACCGTTTGAATCCTGCCTAAAATTCAAATGGACACATCTGCAGAACCGGCTAAACATAGCAATAATTCAATCTCACATAGTGACCCGAAGCCAAAACGACTCCAGGGTAATCAAGTAATTTCCAATTACGCTACACAAGAAAAGGACGGGTACATACTTATTCCATTTTCTTTGATGGGTAGCATTCAATATATTTTGGGAGTCGGAGAAGTTGGAAAAGTGAATTTGCATCAGAAAAGTTTAATTCATTACTGATTTTAGCCACTGACTATGACTGGCCGACCATAGGGCTCCTCCTCTCTCTTATAAAGTGACTTTTGTGGTCCGGTGGATAAAAAAGATCGCTCCTTTTTCCTCTCCCAATCGAGATATCCTATCTTTGTTGCTGGTAAACTCCGCCGGCGGCGATGGCGCTTCAGCTATGGGAGACGCTGCAGCAAGCAATCACGGCCTACACGGGTCTAACTCCGGCCACTTTCTTCACAGCACTGGCTTTTGGGCTGGCTATTTACTATCTGCTCTCTTCGATGTTTGGGCCATCTGATCCGCCACCGAGGCCCAGGAGCTTCGAGGAGGAGGTCCAGCCTCTGCCGCCGCCGGTTCAGCTGGGAGAGGTCGGCGAGGAGGAGCTGAAGCAGTACGATGGTTCTGATCCCAAGAAGCCTTTGCTTATGGCGATTAAGGGTCAGATCTATGATGTCTCCCAGAGCAGGTATAATCTCGTTACTTTTGCTTTATCCCCCTTCCTTATTGAGGGGTTTATGGCTTTTGACTTCTGGGTATCTGGAATTTGTTGGATTTAAGTTGGGGATACACTGGCTCTTGGATCCTTTTGGTTTGAAGGGGTCGAGCTTTTTTCAGATTGGAAAGCTGTGGGAATTTGTTCCTATTCGAATTGATAGTTTTTGGTTATGCTTTTGACTTCCATTCTTTGGCTTTGATCTCTCCCTATGTGTTCTTTTCCCCTTCTGTACCTTCCTCAGCTGCATACTTTGCAGCCTATGAAAATTAGCTGGTTTTGCAGTGGCTTCCTGTTGGTAGAGTCCTTCCCACTTACTGGGACATGGAAGATGGAATGAAATTAGTGGGGTTATATGGTAATGGTAGTAGCAAGTGTTTGAGGGTCACTAACTCCACTAATCAAGATGGTAAAGCAGCTTTCTGTATAAGTTGGAACCGTCAAATCCTGCGGCTATGCTTTCAAATTTCAAGAGCTTGTTTGGATTGTATCTGGTATATCCATGTTCGTGGGGAGATTTTGCAGAGCTGTGATGGACCAGTGGTTGTGTTTTTGTTGACTATGAATAGATTCAGTTTTCACTATACTTGTAGACTGCATCATGAGAGATGACTTCGCATCGTAGTCCTACATTGGAGTTTACAGAGTGATGTGATGTAGAGGAGGAAGGATGTACTAAGCTCCATTAGTTATCGATATGAACTGATTGTATCCTCACTATAGCTCGCAGATTGCCAAGAACCCAAAGTACTATGATTCATTGATTTTCTGATTGCTTATGTCTATACTGCCTGTTAAGGCAATTAGCTGCAGCAACTCTTACTTAGTTAGCTGCTGATATGTTTCATTTAACTTTGTGCTCGCAACAGGATGTTCTATGGTCCAGGTGGACCTTATGCCTTGTTTGCCGGAAAGGATGCCAGCAGAGCACTGGCAAAGATGTCCTTCGAGGACAAGGACTTGACGGGAGACATCTCCGGCCTAGGTCCTTTCGAGATGGAAGCCTTGCAGGACTGGGAATACAAGTTCATGAGCAAGTACGTGAAGGTCGGTAGCATCAAGAAGGAAGTCCCAGTAACTGATGGTTCCTCCAGCGAGCAACCAGCAACTGAAAATGGCGATGCCAAGCCTGCTACCACCGAAGCAGACGATGCGAAGCCAGCCGAAGATGCTCCATCTACGGCAGTGGAGCATAACGAGGTTCCTCCAACAAGTGTTGAGTCCAAAGAGGATTGAAACTGTAGAGGACAATTCTTGTGGCTGTGGAGAGCGAACTTCTGAAGGAGAGATGATGCCATGAGAGAGATGTATGTATAAGACGATGAAATTCGGTGGGTTATTTCTTATTACATAGGGGTTTAGTTTTGTTATTTTCAGCTTTCTCATCTCCAACTCAAACATGTTTCTGTCACAAACAAGACATTAGCTTTCATATGTTTTTGTCTAATAAGAACACCATTCCGTGATTTAGGCTCTTTACATGGTGGCTGGGGAAACGAAGAACCTTAGTAATATGAGAGATTGTTCAAGTTTCATTTTGATTCCGGTGAAACTCGCCGCCTTTAATCTTCCTCAGCTATCTAGTTATTCATTGTTCCAGTGAACTTCACAAACTACATCTACAATCAATCAGTGCATCAAAGGACCCAAAAGGAAGCCATAGTTGGAACTTAGAAGGTGATTCTGATTTGAGCAAACTTCTCCCAAGTAGGTGTTGCTTGTGGAAAACCCTCTTCTAGGCAGTCATCAAGCAGAAAAGAACTCGTGCAGAATCCCATTCATCCGCATTTGGGACAACCATAGGTGGCTGAACTTATCTCCCTACCTGCTCAGCCATAATAGAAAGAAATCCCGCACCTGCATCTCATGTATCTGCAATCCTCTGTTCTCTCAACCTAGACTTTACAGTTTGGGACACCTCTTCCACAACTGCTTAACTGTGTTGAACCGTGTAACTTGACGGCCAATTCACGAGTTTGGTCAAATTAGTCTAAATAAGTAGTAATTCAGATAAGAATGAATATTTAAGAAAGATTGAACAAATTTAGTCTTTTAATTTAAAGTTGGTCCCATTTTAATTTATTTTAGCACAATCTTTTTTCACTATTATATCAACAAAACTCGATGAAGTAGCAAAAGCGCCAATGAACCTAAAATCTCTCATTTCCTGCGGACAAAATGCAACCTTAGAATAGCCATTCCAACCACAACCATCCTTACCACAGAGAGGAAAGATTCTGCCAAGTTGTCAATATGCTGTTTGGAATCAGGTCGTTACAGCCCCGCAGCCGGCAACTCTCCCCCTGCTCTGCTCTCAACTTCCCCTGTTTCATCACTATTCTAATGAGCTGGCCGACCACATAACTTCCTCCCCTGTTTCTGTTGTTAGTGGGTGGCATCTATATCATCACTCGAACACCGATTGACTAAGATATATATACTATTATACTAAACAATGGCTAAACAATTCAGGCAATGAAATGTGACTGCTTCTGACTTTTTGCCCTTGACATTATATTTTTATCTCCCCATCCTGCCAAAGAGATTCCAATCCGTCTTTCTTCTCTTTATATATAACGCTCTCCATTTCCCAACAAATTCAGACACCACTATTACGCTCCATTAAAAAAAAAATTTGTTGCTTCCTCTACCCTTTGAAAATCATGAGAACTACTACTTCTGGCTCTTCAGTTCTTGCTCTGTTGCTGCTTCTTACCGTTCTTACGGCACTAATCCACTATTCTGATTCTCGGCCAATCGCTCCCTCTGGCTACAGAGAAAGAGTAGTGGAGATCAAGGACAGAACCAAGATGAAGTTCCCATTCCCGATTCCGGCGAGGCTCGCGGCGATGTCTCGGTTCGTTCCGGGGAAAAGCGCGATGAATAACGAGCTTGACAAGCCAATTCACAGCATTTCGGATAAGTGGGTCCCTGCAGGACCGAATCCACTTCACAATTAGAGTCCGGAAAAGAAGAGCTTTGATCAAAGGCGGCGGAAAGAATCAATTTGGGCATTTGTTTTTTTTTTTTTAATTGGGAGACATGATGTGCAGGGGCGGACTTCCCTTGTTTGCTAGAGCTTTTCTGTTTTACTCCATTCTTTCCACGAACCAATCTCGACTCCGAGTTGTTTATAAAAGAGAATGCCGCTTTGTATAGATTGGATATGGAGTATGAATACAAAGAGCTTATATAGTACTCTCTGTTCCGTTCATTCTGGAGTTTCCATCGTCAAGAACTCTGACAATTGCCCTCCCTGCTATTGTTACCCTTGCATACGCGAATTTGTCTGAAAACGAAGCCCAATTTTCAAGTCACCAGTAGGGAGGGCAATTGCCACCTGGCCAGCCATGGTATTATATCCAAATCCAAGTAAACTTATTGATTATGGATCGGATATGGGTAATATATAATATACGTGGGTTTGAAGTGAGTTTGAGTTGGTTATAGATATTGCTTTTATACTTCAAATGGTTATGGGTTGGATATGGATACCCCTCTACTTGAGGTTGCTTTTAACTACACATACATAAATGATACATACTTAAAAAGTTTAGATATCAAAATGTAATAAAATATACATTTTCATCAATATTTTGAGGACTTATATGCAAAAAAAAGTTAAATTTAGGTACTAAATCTACATAACTGTTGAGTTTAGGTACCAAACTGTAATTTGCACATGGGTATAGGTACTCAAATTCATGATTAAAATTCCAGCCCAACCCAAATAAATGGATATAAATCCATCAAACTCTACCCATTTACTAGTCACCAGAAGGAAGGAAAGCTTGAAAAGGTACAAGAATGAAGCCCATATTTGTGTATTTTACTAATTTATGATATGAAATTGTATACTTTTATTATTAGGGTCATTAAATGTCACCCTAATTTTAATTTTAATTTCCCTAACTTAAAAGTTAGGGTGTGCCTATGGTGACATGCATGTCACCGTAACTTGCACTTTTCGGTCGACCTCAGTTAGGATTAGGTCGACCTAATATGTTGTTTCAGTGTAAAAACAGTTTCATGGTGCCTACTTTGGAGATTCATATCTTACAATTGGCTCGATGAAAATTGGAGATTAATGGCTTGTTTTGAATCTGAACTGTCCCTCTAACATTGAAGTGCTTGGGAGCTCGATAGGAAGTCCAGAAAATCATTTTTGAACCTGATCAAAAGGCTATGCCAAATTCGCGAAGTGTTTGTGAAGCCTACTTTGGAGCTCAATTCGAGAAGCATGGATGAGATTCGAGTACAGTGGCCTATACCACATGAAAGTAGGTATGTTTGTCTATAAAGTCAAGGCATTGGATGAAATATTGGATATCTGTAAGGCTTCAAACAAAGGGCTCGAAGTTGCTACGAAGTAAGCTGCCTTCTAGCACAAGACTGAAGCGGCATAGTAGGTCGACCTAAAAGTGTAAATTACGGTGATATGCATGTTATCGTAGCAAAGTCAAAAAAAGTTAAGATACACATTTACTCTTCTTAATTTTTTTTTTGTAAGGAGATAATAAATACAACTAAACAATATGAAGAAAGAAAAAAGAAATCACCCTCTATCTCGGAATCCAACCGCCACGAAGAAAGAACAACGACAACAACATTTCTGGCGGCAGGTCATCAACAAAGAGAGGGAGGCCGTCGTTTGTTTCTTCCTTTTTTTCCTAGCAGATGGCGAAAATGAAGGAAATTTGTATTTTGTAGGTTATGTTTGTTTTGAAATTTTTGTTTTTTTAAGAAGGAAGGGTAGGTAATTTCCAGTTTTAAATTAGGATGATAATATTAGTGTTAGGTTGACGTTGACCGTACTATTTGCACAACTTTCCCCCGCTTTCCACGGATTGACAATTCCATTAATCCAGAGTAGCATTTGGAAGAAAAAGAAGTTTTGATCAAGATCTGAGAACCGAGGGTGTTTCCCTTTGAAACATTTCAGACCTTATTATTAGAAATACCGTGTCGTCTGTATTAGCTGTTAAGAACATTATTTAGTCTTTAAAGTAGAGAATGAGTCGGTGCCAAGTGGCCGGATTTTGTAATTCATTTGCTTAACTGATATGGATTTGGTATAATCATGAGAGAGTGAGCGACCTCAGCTCTTTGAGGATCTTCTCTTCCACCAAAACCCCAACTACATTTCTCATATGGTATTAGTGTGACAGATCTTGACATCTCGGAGATGTTTGGCAAAGAAGTTTTCACACCTTTGTACATTTTCCAAACTCCACCAAAGTTCTAGTAACACACGTTGAGATTGTAAGTTCGTTTAGTCCTAAGGATTTTGTCTTTCAAATGTTCTTTTTGTCCCCAGTTTTTCATTCAACCTAATCTCAATGTCTTTTCAACATAATTTCCCTTTAGCCTTGCATTTTCTCTATGATCTTTGTCAAATTCATGACCTTTTAAGCAAGACCCGATGATTAATTTAGCAAGAGAATCTAAGGAACTTTACCAGCTTACTTTTCCTAATCAATCACCAAGTCATCATGCTCTCCAATCACCTCAAGCATTCAGTGTCCAAAATTCCCAACCCCAACATGTTGATTTATGGCACTGGAGATTAGGCCATCATAGTTCCAATCAATGCAGTCAAAAGCGCGATTCTATCTAGAAGCGGAAAAGGAATAAAATCGTAAAACGTAGAATTAAAGCGTAAAAGCGTAAGTTTTTGACGCACACTATAAAATAACTATAAATCTTTTAAGTATGAAATATACTATGTAAAATATGAGTGCATAGAATTTGGATAAGTTAATAAATACCTGCAATTCATGACTAAAATATAACAAGTCGTAGCATCTTAACAATAAGTTTATAAACATAGATCTTAATGATAAGTCACATTCCCCTCTATGCTAATGAATTTGGAAAGGGCCTAGCTAGTGAATTAGATTACTCTATTTAAGTTGAGAACACATCCAAGTACCTGTTATTTATCTTTTAATCTCAAATGTATAATATTGTTGGTGATTCACCTTTAAAATATACTTTTTGTCATTAATTTCATGAAAAGAACACCCATTTGGGAACTAAAAGCGTAAAGCGTTTTGGTGAACTAGAAGTGTAAAAGCTTAAGTTTTTAAACTTTAAAACACATTTTAGTCCGATTTTATACACTCAAGATTTTATGTGGAAACGTAAGTTTTTTGGTGATCCAGAAATGTAAAACCGTAAGTTTTTAAGTTTTAAAACGTGATTTTGATGCATTGGTTCCAATAAGCTTTCTATGTTGCAGTCTCTATATTTCATTGTAACAACTACTAAAGTAGAACATTGTGTAATGTTTGTCAGTAGTCCAAACACAAAAGACAACCTTAATACCTTATCATGTTCGCACCACTCATGCTACTGAGCCATTTCAATTTATTCATGTTAATATATGGGTCCCTTTTATGTTGATTCTTATGATGGATATGTGTATTTCTTAACCGTCATGGATGATTTTTCTAGAGCTGTGTGGGTTTATTTGATGAGGTACAAGAGTGAACCAGAGAGTTGTTAAGATTTTCTGTTAATTGGTTAAAACCACTTTTGTTATATTATCAAAGCAGTAAAAAGTGATCAGGGTAAAGATTTTAACATGAGCGAGTTCTACCTAGGTGAAGGCATTGAGCATCAAATGTCTTGTGTCTACACTCCAGAACAAATTGTAAGAGTTGAAAGAAAGCATCAACATATACTTAATGTTGCTAGATCACTTGGTCTTCATTCTGGAATACCTCTACAGTACTGGAGTGACTACATACTCTATGCAACTTACCTAATCAATAGGATGCTCACACTTATCTATAAGAATCCTTCCTTCTTAGGTCACCTCAGGTTATTTGGTAGTTTGGTTTATGCTAGTACACCAGCTGCTGGCGGTTCCGAATTTGATGCAATATCACGCCAATGCATCTTACTTGGTATCCCTTCATGGATCAAGGGATAAAAATTTGTTGATCTTCAAAGAAAGCAAGTTTTTATCTCAAGATATGATGTTTTCTATAAGTCTAATATGCCCTTTAGAAATGCTCATGAATTTCCAAAGTATCCTTCTACTTTGTTCCATGATCATGTTCCTTCCACCCCCGGTCCTGCTTCTGGCCTCATATTGCTATACTCTTGCACAATCAATCATCCTTCTCTTGTATAAGGCTTAAATGTTGGGGGGCATAACATGGTAGTGGACGAGGATGAGGCAGTAGTTGATAATGAAATTACCCATTCTGAGCATCATCATGATTTCAATCTAGGTGCAGAATTGGAACCTCTACAAGAATATGAATCACCAATGAGGCCACACTGATCATATAAATTACTAGCCAAGTATGGTAATTGTGAGCTTGCTCCCACATTGCAGTTTGGTGCATTTGGCTCTAGTTCAATAGTGTCTAGGAATTCAATCTGCCTTAACATTGACTATTTGAATCAAACTGGTAGAGGGTTTGCCTTGAGTGTGATCACCCAGGTAGAGCCAACAACATACGGAGAGGCAATATAGTCAGATGTATGGAATAGAGCTATACGGGAAGAACTAGGTTCACTTGAAGAGAATTAAACATAGTATGTTATTGAATTATCAGTTGGTAAGAAGCAATTGGAAACAACTGGATGTTCGAGATAAAAAGGAAAACATATTGAAAAATATAAAGGTACAAAGCAAGACTAGTTGCAAAGGTTACACCCAGGTTTATTAAATTAATTTCTTACACTTTCCCCTTGTGGCTAAGATTAATCAGTCAAAGCATTGTTAGCAGTGGGAGCAGTCAGGAATTGGACATTGGAGAAAATGGATGTATATAATGCATTTTCAAGAAGAGCTTTACACGAAAATACCATTAGGGCTTGATCTGAAGGGTACTAATCCAAATGGTCTAGCCTGCAGGTTAAAGAAATATTTATATGGCCTCAACTCTCAAGCATGCTTCAAGATAATGGTTTGCTAGACTAACAAGATTTTTTTGAAGAATGGTTTGTCACAATCTCCATCTTATTATTGCTCATTCACTAAGTGAATCCAAGGGAGAATTTT